TGTGGTGGAGATGTGAGGCTTGGTCACTCTGTTGCCTTACAATTGGTCCAAGCAGGAAACTTTGCTTGTGTCCGTTCATCCCTTGGACTCCAGCACCGATTCACTAAGTCCCTCACCTTGAAGTCCCTGAGGCCTGCCTCTCCTAGTCAGGAACGTTGGGCTGAGACTCCCAAGGGCTGAGAAGCTGCCTGGGTATGTCAATGCAGGGAGGTGCCGGGGGGGGGAGACAGCAGCTGGTTGCCCTTTGCATCCCTTGCCAGGAAAAACAGCCTTGGTTCCTGATGGGTTGCTTCAGGTTTCCTGAAGTGTCATGAATTCTGCTTTGTGCTGTTTTAATGATGTTTCCAAGAGCAACTGGAGTGTTAATGTATTAAAGCAATTTATATCAGCTGCATCGGTTAGTTTCTGAGCTTGATGAAAAGTGTTAATATTAATCTGGTCTGGAATCACTGAGGGCTGGAAAACGGATGGGTGGATGAATGCGTCAGCTTTAATTTTTCCAATCAAAATAATTTCTTTTTGGTTTTGCATTTCAATGATTCTGCAACAAATGTACATGGAAATTCATCTATGCTTTTCCTTCCCTGTTTCCCCGAAAATAAGACCTCCCCCAAAATATTGCAACACAGCAGCAGCCATGAGGTGACCACGCTCGTTGCCTCCTGCACCTCAAAAATAATAAGACCTCCCCGAAAATAAGGCCAAGTGTTGGAGTCAAAAGAAAATAAGACCTTGTCTTATTTTCGGGGAAACATGGTATTATGGTTTTCTAAGTAATATATATATATATGTGTGTGTGTGTGTGTGTGTGTGTTTGCAGGCAATTACCCTAAAACATTTTTGTGGATTTTTCCCTAAAATGCTTATTTTTATTTTTTAATCTTTAAAAAAAATTGAATAGAGAACTTGTGGGCTAAAATTTGGAAACCAAATCCCGTGTCTCAGTTTGTATATTTGTTCTGCATATCTGAATTACATAGACTTTCATTAGAAAGCCAGCAGAATAAAATTGTCTTCTCTTCCCTTTGGAGGGGAATTTACAGGCTGCTGCACTGAGATAAATCTCCCTCCGCTTTGTTCTGTGGGTTGGGAGGAGGAGGAGGGGGGTCAGTGTGTGTGTTTGGGCAATGAGGGTGCCCAAGCCTCCTTGGTTTCAGGATTGCCTCTTCCTTCCGGAAGGAGGTTTAGAGAAGGGAGGGGGATTTCTGCTGGAATCTGCTAGTTCAACCTTGATTTCTTTGTAAACAAACTGAAGCTGAGGTTTTTGCCCTTTTAGTGTGATGTCTTCCTGCCTGGAAAAGTGGACAGTATGAACACTTGAAAGGCTTTTGCAATTTCCTGCTTGACATTTCATTTCATTTCATTGCTGTGCACATGCATACACACGCACACATGGTAACCCGCCCGAATGGTATGAATGTTGTGTTCTTAAATTTGTATTGTTTTATATGTCAAAGTTTGTTTTTCCCCCCTTTCCCCTTTTTAAGTTGTGAGCCGCCCTGAGCCCCCCCAGGGAAACGGGCGGCATATAAATTTAATAAAATACTAAATACTAAATACATCCCTCGCCCTGGGCCAGCCTGCCTCTGGGAGGAGCCTTCCCCAACCATCGCTTGACAGGATTTCCAGCACTCGCTGCTCTCCTGCTCCCAGGGCCTGCTGGGCAGGGCAGAAGAGCCCCCTCCCCAACGGCAGCAGGAGCGGAGAAAGCAGGTGGCATCTACGGCAGGGTCCCCAAACGTGGTCACTTTGAGACTTGGGGACCAACTCCCAGCTTTGCTGGCTGAGAAATTCTGGNGAGAGGATAAGGTCAACCCATTCTGGATACTCCTCCCCCCACTATGAGAAGAGGCGTATCAGGTAAATACCAACCCCTTTTTTCTTGTACTTTCTAGAGAAATGTATTTGAGAATCCTCCACTCTAACTTAGCAAAGGTCTCAACTGAATTGCAGAAAAAGAAGAGAATGGTAACTTAGTTGTCAGAGCACTTCACAAAATCCCTGAGAACATTTCCAGCTGGTTATTGAGAGGTGATTGAGAAAGCTCTCTCATGCACAACCTTTTTAATGCCTAAATGATTAAATGAGCCAACTTAGTTGAAGTTGCTTGTCTTTCTGTTAAATAGCAAATGGGTGTATATCTGGCACACCTGTATTATAGGTGGCTACCAATCAGGTAGGCTTTTTAAAATAAATTCATAAGATCCAAGTAAATCTGGTTGTTCAGTCTGAGCCAGTCTAGAAGAAAATCCTCTAGAAACAACAGGGCTGCATTTTGAGGAAGAAGCTTTCAATGAGAGCAGATTAAACCAGATTTTGCCAGGCAAAAATGTAAAGTAAGGCTTCGATTAACAGTCTCGGTGTGGAAAGCTGCCTGTGGCAGTACAGAGTCCTTTGGGGAAGGGTGGTCGACCTGGTCATGCTATTTGGGGCTATTATAAATAGCTTATGGGGCATGTTGCCTTCTGGCCATGGCCTCCTCCCTCCATGCATGAAGGAGGCAGATAGGAGCCTTTGGGGAACTGTTCTTGCCCCCCCCCCCCTTATCTTTGGTTAATTGCTCTCCTGTATTAGATTCCCAGAGGTTTTTCTCCTCTTCTGCTCCAGGGCCTGTGCATGCAGCCACCTGTGCTGGGGTCACCATTAAATCTTGGTCTATGCAGACATCTCTATGAGCCTTCTGGCTCACACACTTTGGGAAGCTGCATTAGGAGGTTGAATGAGCTGGCCTACACTGCAGGCTGAACCCAAACTCTATTTCAAGTGTGATCCCACAGCAGTAGTGACAGGGAAGAAAGCAGCTACGCACAGAGGCGGTTAGACTTGCTGAATTGCCCTCCTGGAAAATCTAAGACCTGTCAAATCCTGAAGCCTTTCCTGTGGGCTGAGGTCAATGTTGTCTTTTAGCTGTGGCTTTCTGCTTGTCTGCATGAAGTGCTGCAGATTCTGCAGGATAACGAGGGTTGTGGGCTGTTTTTATAGTTTCCAGACTCTCTGGATTTGTCTTGACAGGAAAGGACAGCTGTTTGCTGAAATATAGTAAATAATTCTGAGTTCTTACGTAAAAGCCGAGAAAGGAAGGTGATCAGAAAAAGATATGCCAATTCCACAGTAGAATTAAGGGAAAGTATTTTAAAAAATAAAGCAATTATTGCATATGTACGTATGTACAATGGTAGATTGGTACTCAACTGCTTTGAAACTCATCGAATTTGGTAACAAAAATTTCGATATAAAAATTTTGCCCCAATATTCATTGTTTGGTACTCAACGCACAAGCTAAAACTTGTCGTTGTCGGCTGCCTTCTGATTCTCTACATTAGTTTTTATGGGAAAAAATGTTTGGTGCTCATCACAACTCCAGGAACCAATTAACAATGAGTACCAAGTTACCATCGTGTGTTTGTGTGTGCATGCGTGTATGTACGGACACACAATAACAGAGTTGGAAGGGACCTTGGAGGTTTTCTAGTCCAACCCCCTGCTCAGGCAGAAAACCATTTCAGGCAAATGTTTGTCTTAAAGCTTCTTAAGCTTCTTAAAAACTTCCAGTGATGGACATCCCCAACTTCTGGAGGGAAGCAGTTCCACTGGTTAATTATTCTGTCAGGAAATTTCTCCTTAGTGTTCTAGGTTGCTTCTCTCCTTGGTTAGTTTCCATCCTTGTCCTGCCTTCAGGTGCTTTGGCAAATGGGTGGACCCTCTCTTCTTTATGTCTATGTATGTCTATATGTATATACAGTATTAAGTAGAGTAATATCTGTCAGGCTTAGTACAACACTTAGTATGGTACTAGTTGAGTACTTAGTACTAGTCAAGTACTAGTTGTACTAAGCCCGATAAGTAACTCTGCCAGGATTCAAATCAGAACCAAACCCAGGAGGGAAGGAAGAGGGAATGCTGCTCATGGGCAGCTGAAAGTTGGTGCCACACCCTGCAGCTCCTCCTCCTCCTCATAAAACTTTCATGTGGACAGGAAGCAAGTTGGGCTTTTTCTGGGCTACCAAGCTGGGAGGGTTTCCGACTGGCCTTTGGGAAGGGAGGAGCAGCCATTTTTAGCCAAGTGCGCTGGGGGTGTTTGGAGAGAATTCCTGAGTGGGGGGGGTTGTTTCTTGAGGGGAATCTTGGGGGGCTTCTTGTTCAGCAGCTTTTCCAGTGGAGCTCTGTGAAATCTTAGGGCACTGAAGTGAGAGCAGGTTTCACTTATCATGTTATGCCTTTTTGAGGGGAGATAAAATAAAAAAGACCAGTTTAATTAATCTCTTTGATTCCCGACGATGACATGGAAAGATTCTTTGATTTTGATGGTCTCCTAGTAAAATGCTGAGCCTCTGGAAACCCCCCTCCCTCTTTTTTTAAATTAATTGCAATCTAAAGCTGGGTCCTACTGTTCTAGTGTCCCCTTCAAATTTTGCAGTTTTGTGGCAGAAGGAAATGAAGGAGGTGAATTATCTAAGTAGACCTTGCTTAATGACCATTCAAAGTTATAGCAACATTCAACAAAGGTCCTTGAACCTATGGCTGTTGTTGTGCCCTGCCCAACATGACCAAGATTTGAGGGTTTGGGTTACTTCAGTTTCCCCTCCCTACCTGTGTCTGCCTTGTGCTCTCCCCCACCCCCTCGAGGACCCCTGTTGCTGCTGCTGCTGCCCCAGCATTCCCGATCTGGCCCTTTACAAGGCAGCTCTGGCTGCACATGGCGAGGCTTGGCAGAGAAGGGCTCCTGTGGCTGGCAAGTGACTGGTGGTGAAGGTCGGACAGGGTAGCAGGTGGCGAGGGTGACTGGCATGGGTGGGTGCTGGGGCATTTGCAGCTGTGCCCTGGGCTGCTGGGCCAGGCTGTGGCTTCTCGGGGTGGCTGTGGTACCACTGGAGCTCAAAGGCTACTTGCAGTCAAGAGGCCCCTGAGCCACGTTGTTCTGAGGCTGCTTGCTGCCCTCAAGGCAGGGTGTGGGGTGGGCAAAAGTACAGAGATGGGGGGGGGGAATAGTTATGAAGGGAGGGCCGTCTCTCACCATGGAAGAACCAAGACTCGGGCCCAGGAGATACCAAGTGCAGAACAGCTTGGATTGGGTAGGTTCAATGATGGCAATAAGGAATGCCAGAATTGCTTCGTGATGTTGTATTTTATGACCACATCACTTAAAGACAGAAATGTTGGTCCAAAAACTCGAAGGCTGCCTGTACAGTTTCTGTGCTGGGAAAACGGGATGACCTGCCCAAGCTGAGATAAGCCAGGTGCTAAAGTAGTAAAGTAGTATAGTTGAAAGGAAGATCAGCAAGTTGTGTATTAAAAATAACAAGTCTTAAAGATCTCAGAGGATTGAGAGGAAAGTCAGGCTAGAAATAATTCATTATGCAAAATCTTGACATTCTTACGCAATGGAAATATGAAAGGGTTTAGAATGAAGTAAATTCTAGAACTGTTAAAAGTATTCTGCTGCTTAAAATGATTTAAAGTTAAACTGCCCTTAATAGTGTTTTTAGAGCTTTTATCTCCAAGATTTGTGAGTCATGAGAGGAGCTAGTAAATGTCCGATCTGTAGCTCATCTCAGGTTTACTTACTCACTCACTCACTCACTCACTCACTCACTCACTCTCTCTCTCTCTCTCTCTCTCACTCACTCACTCACTCACTCCTTGTCTACATGATTTGCATCTTTAAATAGTGGATGTTGATTCCATTCAAAGAACCCAATTCTATACATTCTATTAATTATATGACAAAATATATTTCTAAAAACAAAACTTTCTCAGTGGTAAATGGGGTATTAGAAGAAGGTCCAATCCATTTCTTTGTGAATTTAGGAGCTCCTCTGCTCCTGACATTGTTTTCCACTGGCTTTTGGGGGCTCTGATTTCTTGCTTTGATTCCCCCTCTTTGGGGTGCTCTTCCCAGCCTGACTGAAAAATGTGATTTTCTCTATTGATTTGGCCACCCTCCCAGCCCAGAAGCCCTGCTCTTACTCACTTCTTTTCTCCGTTTATTCCTCCCTCATTTCTTTAATTAGATAAATTGAAAGAAGCTGCTTTAATATTCAGGAAGAAATCCTTCCTTCCTGGGAGCCTGCTGATGCCATTGAAGTAGCAAATACTACATTATTGGTTAGATTATGCCTGACTGCTTGATGGTGTTCATTGTGTTTTTCTTTTATTATAACTTGCCTGGAGTGATGTGAAAGTGAGATGGGTGGCTATATAAACCAAGTAAGTAAAGTTGAATTCCTGGATATTAAGAAAATAACCCACAGGAGTGGAGATGAAGATAATAGCCATTGGAAGAGTGGAAGTCAAGGCAGCTGAGATAAGGCCTAGTTAGGGCCCCGACTATGTGTGAAGGATCCTCTCCTTGGGCAGACATACAAGCTGCCTGTGGTCACTGGCTGCCTTCTTGGGGCAGAAGGAAATTTGGTCCAAAAGGTGTGGGGCAACCCAAGTGGGCTCTTCTGCTTGGCAGTTCTACTTTCCCATCATTCCCCTGGAGGAGGGAAGCTGGCTGAGTATCTTGGTTTGGTTTGGTTTAATCTTGTGTTTCTGGGAGGGGTCTGTATTTCTTTTCTCATGTGTGCAAGGTTCTATTGTTTCCAAAAGGGAACTTTGCCGTTTATAACTTACTTTACCCTTCCTTTCCCTCCCTATATCCCTGTGTCATGCATTTCCTGTTGATGATACTTCTGTGGTTTTTAAGCAATTTGTCAATGCCTGTCCAATTGTTTGAAGCATTAATTGCCACTGGCATAACTGGTCATATGGTTTAGGCTAGGCAGCCTCCTTTAGAGAACTTCCTTGCATCCCTGTGACACTCTTACCATTTTGGAATGCCACCCGTTGTTAAAAGTGAAGTGTTCAAGGCCACACCTGGCTGCTGGATGTAAAATAGCACAAATGATTCCCATGTTCTCTTGCTAAACTCTGGCTTCCATATTTAGTCCTGCCCGTCATGACTCTAGAGTCTTTGGTCCTTTCCTCCTGCTGCTGCTGCTGCTGCTGCTGCTTGAGTTTACAATTCCATGTCTTGGAAGCCTCTCGTGGTCAGCCAAACTGCCCAGCACCCTCAGCTGTTGGTGTGGCAGAATCTTTTAGCTGATCCCTCCTTTTAGCAGGAAATTTAGATGCTTATTATAGGCAGAGTTGAGACTGCTAATAAGCAAAGTGCTGCATTGGTCAAAGCTAGGCAGGAGGCTATGAGATTGCCTCTGACTTGAGCTGTTGCCATTTAGGCCATGGGAGCTTGTGCAAAATGACAGCCAGTGCCTGCAAGGTTTCTTTCAGGCCGTGCTTCGTGATCTGACCGTTTTTGTCTTGCGACAGTTGATCGATTAAGGGCCACAACATTGAGTGCACTTTCTACTTTACAGTATGATGCTGTTCCTATCCAGTCCAGTGTGGTTTTATGTTCCTGCTCATCTCCATCAATGGTGAGGAACCAGGTGGATTCCAGCCTTCAACCTGCCTGTGGCAGCAGACAGGAACTGAATATGGAGAGCACTTTGCAACAGCCTCCACAGCCTCGAAAGAAACGCCCAGAGGACTTTAAGTTTGGGAAGATTCTCGGGGAAGGATCTTTTTCCACAGTGAGTATCTGGGGCAGCTGCTCCTCAGTGCTAAAGCAGAAGCCAGATCAGGTGTGCTCTGCTTTTCTCCTGGCCTTTGCGCTTGGTAACAAGTCTGCTTAGGTCATTGAGTGCCTGATCTTCACCACATTAGACAGACTTTGCTTCCCATTCCTATTTTTCCACCCCAAAGCCTTGCATTTTCTTCAGAAACCTGATTGCTATGAATCCTTATAAGATTGTGGATCTTGGCTCTCTGAGCATGCAAAACCCTCTTGAGAAGCACCTGGTAAGACTGGCTGAGCAGTCCGGGTAGGACTCACCATGGGGAGCAACTGGCTGAATTTACCTGATACTTTTCTATACTCATTTTGTAAGCATGGCATGTCAGGCTTGCACGACTGATGCCCTCTAGATGCTAAACCTCACCAAGCAAACTTCAGCAAGTCCTTTGTGCGCTTCACCCCTTTGCCGGCCCCGATTGTGACAGCCTCCAGATAGAGAATGGCTGGCTCTACGTGAATGTATACGCCTGTCTTGCCTCCAGGGGCTTCTCACATGCTCCGAATGTAACCGGGTTTCTCTTTCTCTTCAAAACAGGTTGTCCTGGCCAGAGAATTGACCACTTCCCGAGAATATGCCAGTGAGTATCACTTGATTCTTGGGTTGTAGTTTGTTGATGACCCCCTAAGTCACATCTGCTATTGCTATAAGGCCGGGATGGTGAACCTATGACATGTGTGCCCGAAGTGGTACACGGAGCCATGTCGCCTGGCACGCGTTGCATTGCCCATTCCTCTTCCGGATTTCTGGCATGCATGCACATGTGGTGATCAGCTGGCCTTTGTGCAGGGGGCAATGCTGGAAACCAGAAGAGCTGGTCTTCCATTTTCGGGTGTGAGCATGTGCGCCGGCCAGCTGATTGGCACATGCACAGCAGTAACCAGAAGACTTGCTGGCCAGCACACGTGTGTGCGCCGGAAACCGGAAGTTCATTTTCTGGCAGCTCCTCTTCCTTGTCATGGCCTATACAAGCGCATGTGCACGAAGTGCTCCTTTTTTGGCACTCGGTGCGGAAAAGGTTTGCCAATACTGCTATAAGGTGTGGTGTGGCTATTTTATTTGGTCAAAGCAGAGAGACAGAAAGTGGGATTCATCGATCGAGGTCCAAATGTCTAGTAATTTGCCTGTTGTTTAAAAGTTAAAATTCTAGAGAAACGGCATATCATCAAAGAGAATAAGGTCCCCTACGTGACCAGGGAGAGAGATGTGATGTCCCGCCTGGATCACCCTTTCTTTGTGAAGCTCTACTTCACATTTCAAGATGAAGAAAAGCTTTGTATCCTTTCCTGTGATTCACTTGGCAGTAAAAATTATGGGCAAAATTGGACGGGTGTCTGTGGTGGAAACAGAACTGGAATTCCACGTGTGCGTGCTGAATGCTGAACCTCCTAAACCTCTGGATGGTTTTAAGGGCAGAATGGGCATCCTAAGATTTTGGAGCCACCTCTGGCTGAGTTGGAGAAAACAGAGGGCATCAGTTCTGTCATGGGGAATATTAAAAAACTAAAGTATCTGCTTCACAGGTACTTCAGTATATGAATGGGTCAAAGTTACAGAGGCCTTGGAAATAGTGACTTACAAACTGTCAAATCAACCCACAGTCATGGGATTGCAATTCAACCGCTAAAAAGCAGCTCCTATTTACAACTGGTTCTGTGGTATTTGTGATTTCTTTTTTGCTGATTTCCATGAAAAAATGCCCATTGGGGAAGCTGGGTTTGGTTAGTGATCACATTATTTTCTTAACGATTATATAATTTGCTTAACAACCACTGTAAAAATTGTCCTAAAATTTAGATCTGACTTGACTTATGGCTTACAATGCAAATTCTGGCCCAGTTATGGTCCTAAATCAAGGAGTAGCTCTAATTAATAGCTAGTTTAGAAACTCAAGGAAAGAGCCTTAAAGACCAGTAAAAATCCCTCCTCTCTACCAGTTGGACGGTCCTCTTTCCAATCTCACGGCTTTCTCTTTGGCTTTGTTTCCAAATGTATGCTTGTATTGTCTAGATCACCCAATAGAAATAATTCTTAACTTGGCGTTCAGATTTTGGTCTCAGTTACGCTAAAAATGGAGAGCTTCTAAAATACATCCGAAAGATTGGTTCATTTGATGAGACATGTACAAGGTTTTATACTGCTGAAATTGTGGCTGCATTAGAGTACTTGCACGGAAAGGGAATTATCCATAGGTAATGTATTCAAAATTCAAAAATTGGTGCACCTCCTGATTCATTCGTCTGCTGTGGGTTATTTCTCTATCGTGTGACTGTATAAGCGAAAGGCTTTGGGAGCCACCTTTCCAGCCGCTGCTGGTTGAGACTTTGAACTTTCTCTTCTGGTTCAGCATCATCTTTGCCAACAGGAACATCCATGCTTTTGAAGCTGAGTGGGCAAAAATATTGGAAGGGTCTCTGCACTGCCTTGGCTTTCTTGAAGACTGATCTCTTTGGCCTTTTCTTTCCCACTGCAAGAATGGAAACGCATACTTAAGGGTTTTGTCTCACTTTCACTCGCCCCATGGCCAGAGTGCTTGTGTGGCTGCAGTCAGTATGGAGCTTGCAGGATGCTGGGTTTATCCCTGCACCCTTAGTCCTCTGGGGAGCTGGCTCTGCCCTGAATTACAGAGCTTGTTCAAACATTGCAAATGATACAGTAGTCAAGGACACACAGCTCATTGGCCACCTTCACAGTTCAGGTTTTTTGTCTTAACTTGTTCTTGCGAATCCCTTCCTTCCTTCCTTCCTTCCTTCCTTCCTTCCTTCCTTCCTTCCTTCCTTCCTTCCTTCCNGGAAACCACATCGCTTGTGCTTTTCCAGGGCGCTGCTCAGGAGAGTCCAAGCAAGGGTTAAATACAGCCAAACTGCCCAGAACTGAATTGAAACTTTAAGCCACGCCTCTGGTGCTGATTATCTTCAGTTTTTTTTTTTCAATTCAGCTAGCCCAGTTGACGCGCTTAGAGTTTCTCTTCATTCTAATAGTATTGCTTGGACTCTCTTTCAGCTTGAATTGTAAGTAGATTGGATTTGAGGTGTGAGCAGGCTTAGTGAGATTATTTACTTCTCCCAGTGATTTACCATCTGATTCTCACTCCTTGTCCCCCCCGGCGTCCTGCTTGCTACCCAGGCGCTGCTAGGGACACAGGCAGCTGTTGGGGAAGCGCATGGGTCGGAGTTCCTATGCCAGCGCTGCCGCGACCCCCGCTGTGGGGGGGGAATTTCCCCGCTGAGGCTACTGTTGCCGCCGTCCGTGCCTCCTGGGTGCCGGCGTGCGGTGCGGCCCCTCAGGGATCTTCATAGACTTGGCGGCAAGCTTTAAATAGCGTCAGAAAGTTCCGGCTGCCATTTTGGAGCCACTTGCGGTTTCGATTTCACTTTAAACCACGTGCTGCAGCTGCCTGCAGCCTGACTCATGGCAGGAGCCGCGGGGTGCCTTCTTTGTCCGGCCTGGCTGGCAATTTAGCCTGTTTCTATCTTACTAGAGTGGCAAGGATTTGGGGCCTACCGGTCACAGACCTACTGATCCTGCAAGCGCTGGGAGCTGTTAACGCTCGTGCATAGTACCAGGTAGCTGGAATTTGGTGCTGTGACTGTCCACGTCTCTCTTCAAGCGTTTTTTGGTCTGCGAAGGGCTTTGCAAGGTGGTGAGTGGAGGTAGTCCCTATTCATCTGCTAGATCCAACGTTATCACATGGCTGATCAGGTACCAGAAGACCCCAACCAAATAAGGGGCTCATCCAGGACTTTCTCCAGGCAGGCCGGCATGGCTGCCAGAGAGGCCATCAGGGGCTCTAAACCGTACTCCAGGCCCGGGCCTAAGCAGGGATCGGGCCCAGACAAGGATGCATTGCGTCGCCAGAAGGCCCTTGAAAAGCAGTTCTCCAAGGCCCAGCACTAGGCACAAACCTCTCATTCAGTGACTTGTGAGGAGCCCTCCATGGAGGTTCCACCAGCTCAAGCACATCCTATTTCATCCACTATCCAGTGAGGAGGAGGGCCAGGAGTTTTCACCCACGGCCTCTATGGCCATGGCAGTCTCCCCTGGGCCTTCAATGGTGGATCAGGCTGACCTTTTCACTTGTCCTTCGGATCTGGAGGAAGGCCCTGCTCCAGGCCTCTTGGCCCCACAACACCCACCTCCTAGGCCCGACCCCAGGGTTCGTCCCATGGAAGATCTAGGGCCCAACCTTTCGTTTGAGATGCAGGAAATTATTAATAGGGCCATCTCCCAGGACATTGAAGCGGGCATGTTACAAAAGGGCAAACGCACCTGCAAGACTAAGCACCTCCAGCCCCAGGCTGTTCCCAGGGCCGAATCTCCCCCACGCATATTGCATTCCCCCCATTCCTCTTTGGATTCTGAGGATTCGGACTGGGAGGAGGGGGAGGACATTCTTCCTAGACTGGAGGCTGAGTTTTCTGGGGAGGAAGGTGGGGCCACCGAAAAACCTACTTTTCGGGCCTATTTAAAATTGCCAATTTGAAAACCATTTTGCATAAGGCTAAGTTAGCCACCCGTATGGGGTCTACACCACCAGCTCAGGCATCTGCTGAGCCAGATGATTTATCTGGGGACCTGTTTGAGGAGCCTGTAACGGCCCAGGATATCGTACCTATCCCCAAACTCTTTCTTAATTTGGTTCAGAAGCAGTGGGCTCAACCAGCTACCATGGCTACCCCTAGCAGCAATGATAAGAAGCTGTACACAGTGGATGCCAGCCTGGGGGATTTGTTTAAGCTGCCCCTATCAATCCTTCTGTGGCAGCTCTGACCTCAACCTCTGTGCTTCCACCTGATCTCTTGGAGGGCCTCAAGGCTGAGGATAAGAAATCTGAAAATGCCTGTCATAAAACACATCAGGCAGCTGAATGGGCGATTAAAACGTCCACCTCAGCTTCTTTCCTTTCCATGGCCGCCCTTCTCTGGTTGAGGCAATTATTGGCAAGAATTCCGGTTAGGAATACCAAGTTAAGACAGGATATAAATAAGATCATGGTGACGACGGAATATACCGCCGATGCCACCCTGAGTGCGGCCAAGTTCACTTCTCGGGCCCTAGCATCTAATGTTACCACCAGACGTCCTGAGGCACTGGAACGTGGACATGCGTTCCAAGTGGAAGTTGGTTTCTGCTCCCTTCAAAAGGGACAAGCTTTTCGGTCCTCACTAGGACCTAGACCCGGTCCTAGTGGAAAACAAGGACAAGAAGAAAGTGATGCTGTTGGTTGCTAAGAAATCCGACAAGAAAGGTTTCTACTCCTACAGGAGGCAGCCCTTTCAGAACACAGAGCTCTCCTCCAGCTCCGCTCTGTCGCATCGATCATTCCACCAGCAGGCAGACAGGTCCCAGGACCGTCAGTCATTCCAGGACAGGGGTCGCCAACAGCACTACTCCAGACGCTCCTTTCGGGGGGGATCTGGTTCCTGTCCCTTCAGAAGGTATAAATGACTGTCAGAGGTCGGCTCCCATAGGAGGGCAGCTCCAGTTGTTCCACGCCCAGTGGGAGCAGATCACGTCGGACCAGTGGGTCTTGCAAACGATCCGACTGGATCTCACCTTAGAGTTCCTCTCCCTTCCTCCTCGTCACTTCATCAGGTGCCCCGTTCCCTCGTGTCCGGTCAAAAGGTCTCTCATGGAACAGGATGTCAGGCATCTCAGGGAAATCAGGTCCATAGAGCCGATCCCGGCAGGACAGGAGGGGACAGGGTTTTACTCCATCCTGTTCTTGGTCCCCAAAAACTCCAGGGGGGTGGGTGGAGGGGGATCCTAGAGCTAAAAAGGTTAAACTATCACATAATCTATTGGAGGTTCAAGATGCAGTCCCTCCAATCCATCCTGGGCTGCATCAGGCCGGGAGACATTTTGACCTCCATAGATCTCAAAGAGGCCTACCTCTACGTACCCATCCGCAAAGCCCACCACTGGTACCTGAGGTTTACCTACGCTGGTCAGCACTACCAGTACCGGGCCCTGCCGTTCGGTCTGTCATCGGCCCCCCAGGATGTTTATGAAGATCCTCGCAGCAGTGGCAGCTTTCCTCAGATCCCATCCGGTGAGGCTGCACTGCTACCTGGACGATGTTCTCATCCAGTCATCATCCCCTCAGCAGGAGGTCCGGGACCTACAGTACACGATGCAGGTACTTCAAACTCACGGTTTTTCCATCAACTTGGAGGAGAGCCACCTTCATCTAACAACCAGACTGCAACATCTAGGGGCCATCATCGACACCGTTGCCTACCAGGTCTTCTTATCACCGGAGCGGGTGACGAGCCTCAGGGAGTGGGTCACACAGGTGCAGCGGTCTCCCCAAGCCAAGGTCGTTCAGCTGTCACAGCTCCTAGGCAAGATGATTTCATGCCTGTCCATCGTCCCGTGGGCACAACTTCATTCTCGCCCCCTCCAGTGGCTCCTGCTCCCTTACCAAAGGGCCAACGAGAGTTTGTAGTTTGTAGTTTGTAGTTTTATTAGAATTTGTAGGCCNTTTTCTGCCATCTCCTCATAATTCTTCCCATTCCCCAAATTCTCTGATGGATGACTTTGTGAAATAAATGAAACAATAAAAAAAGCTGAGGTTAATTCAAATTTCATGTATTTCTGTAAGACATATCAACTTCATGAAGCTATGATTCAGTGGCACTCCTAGATGGATCACTGCAAGTTTCTTGAAAATCATCCAAAAATTAGCACTAACACTGATGATCCTAGTTTGAGTAATGAAATGTCTGCAAGAAAACAACCAAGCTCAGAGAGCACCAAGGACTCCAGAGTAAAGATGTAAAATTTCCGAAAATTTTGAAGCCATGAGAAAAAAGGTTCCCCCCCCCTGCTTTTTTCCTGGTAAAAATAGAACTCTTGGAAAAATTGGAAGAAAAAGATTAGTGTGGAAGTAGTTTTACAAATTGTGTGAAATGTAAAAGCATAAAAGGATTATGCTTGCACTAAAACAAGTAAGCACCCTCCCTTTCCCTCAAAGGCAACAACAACAACGAAAAAAGCAAGAAACCATCAACATAAAAAATAATCAGATTTGGCCCTTAGCACCAATAGCAGATAAAGTTGTGGTTCACCTCAATATTTAAGCTCAATAGAAGAAGGCATAACATATACATGCAGTTTATTCTATCTCATTTTCTGATCTGCTATCATTTTCCGTTTCTTCTTTTCTTCCTTTTTGTCATTTTTTCTCATGGACTTCTAAAAACTTTAGTTTTGCAGTGCACAGATTGAAACTTTTCTACACTTTCACAGATCAGTTTGTTTCTTGATTTGGTATAAATAATATCAAACATAGGCCAGATTCTTTCACATGTAGCAGAAGATGCAGGAATCTGCAGTGGGAGGTGTTGGAGATTGTGTGGTGTAGAGACCTTGCCACCATGTTGCAGGAGGGATATAGAATTGAATAAGAGAGTTGGAAGGGACCTTGGAGGTCTTCTAGTCCATCCCCTGCTTAGGTAGGAAATCTGACCCTACTTCAAATGTTTTGCAGAATCCCAGAATTCATTCCTGTCCCAAATCCCTGAAGATGTTCTATGTTCTGCAACGTTTGAAAGTACTTTTCCAACATCAAGTCCTAAGGGCACAGCTTGTCTTGTAATCCAGTCCTATGCAGCAGCTGTATTCCCATCACTCACACCGCTGTCTTTGAATCTTGAATCCAGTAGATTTGCAGCAGCATGTATTGGATGGGAAGCCAAATTCTTCCTGTTTCTTAATAAAATCTTTCACTTTACTTTTTTCACCAGTTGTAAGTGGAGATGCACTTAGAATTTCAAAAATAGATGTTTTTATCATAGCCACATGGTTAGGAATTTCTGACAAAAGTGCCGTGTCTGATTCAGATGCACAGATTGCTGAAAATGGGTGTTAAAATCTGTAGGGAGTTCTGCAGCCGAACCCAAAACACATCCTCTTCAAGCACAGTGTTCCTTATATTTTGGGGAATTTTTAAGATCCTCAATTATTACTGTGCTTGAAGAGCTTCTTTGTTTTTTTAGTAAACTTTCAAAGGAGATCATCCATCCCAACGGAGTTTCACTGTCACTTTTATTATGTGCATTTTTCTTCTAGTTGTATTTTTGTGGTGCAGTGGTTTGCAACACTTCCTTACTTGAAGATGCTGCTGGTGAAAAAAAACCGTGATCATCCAGAAGCATCAGAAAAAGTGTTTCTGGAATTAGAATTCTGGAAGGAAAAGCTACTTGCACTTTCTTTCTGGTTCTCATCATTTAATTCCATAAAGTATTTTTTTAATGTCTTTAGGGCACCTCTGGAATGCAAGGACATGTTTTGTCGTCCTTGTAGCATTTGAAAAAGAATGTTTCTTCACAATATTTGCAAATCGCAGCTTTGCTCTCAGCAAAAATTGCACTGTGGAAATGTTTCCAAACTCTAGAAGTTGGTCTCACCATTTTACTGAAGGGAGGAAAAGAAAAACCAAATAACTGACCAAACTGCAGGTGAACGTTATGCTGTGATCATAGAGAACATTAATAGGAACCATTTCAATATATAGAATAAGAAGAATACACTTGTATACTGTTGATCCTTATCTTTTCTTTTTATTTTTCTCTTTTTTTTTCTTTTTTTTCCCCCCTTCTTTTTTCTTTTTAGTGTAATTTTTAGTAACTGAATAGATTAAGGAATAGAGAAATGCACCATAGTGAGAAGTAGAGGAAAGGAAGAGGGAGAAGTAAGGAGGGAGGAAGAGGGGAATGTAAGGAGGATGAGAGGGGAAGGAGGGTGAGGAAGGCGAGAAAGGAAGATAGGAGGGGAAAGGGAAGTAAGAGGGGTGATCGTTGGAGGGAGAAAGGAAAGTTGGAGGGGGAGAAGAAGGGGTGTATGAAAGTGATAGGTTGGGTTTATGATGAGTTGTGTTTAGGTTGGGGTTTTTCTTTTCTTATTATTATATTATTATTATTGCAAATATTCAGTATATAAGTGAATGTACAAAATTGAAAATGAAAATGAATAAAACATTTAAACAAAAAAAAAATAGGAACCATTTAAGGGTTACAAAGGAGAAACTAATTTGTGAGGCAGATTTACCCCCTTATCTGTCAGTTAAGGCCCAAGGAGAGAAACTACCAACCATTACTCAATTGCCCAGAGATACACAAGCAAACTTAACTGGAGCCTTTTCCCTGCAGTGCCCCCCAGTGGCACAAATGGATATTTCTCTTGTTTGAGAACTGCATTGAGAAGTACTTGAAATGTATTCTAGGATTTGCTTGTCTTCAGCTGAGAGAACTTGCAATATTTTAAAACTTTTAAGAAAGTCTCAGAAATCTTTCATTAAGGTCTTCATGTTATATAGTTTGAATACCATGTCAGTCATAACTTTATCTTGTAATCAAGGTTCTTGTAAGTAGAACCTTACAAGAATATTTTGTATCGGTTGAGTATATCGAATTTCAGTATCTCCTTCCAACTTTATTGCTCTTTGAGTTAGTTGAATCATAGGTATCCATTGGCATCCTTTATCTTACTAATTTGAGATTGGGGTCTCCCCAATTTGAAGCGGCTAAAATTGCATTAAAAAGCCAGTTTAGCGGTATGGTTTAGCCATCAGACTAGACCATGAGTTCTAATCCTGCTTTAGACACAAAAGCTAGCTGGGTGACCTCAGGCCAATCACTCCTCCTCAGCCCTAGGAAGGAGGCAATGGCAAGCCATGTCTGAAACCCTTTGCTAGGAAAATTGTGGGGATTTGGGAGTCCAGGCAGCCACCAGGAGGCAACACTGCCTATAAGGGACAAACAAAACAAGAAAAAAGGTTGCATTATGTTTAATGAGAGGATTCTTTAAAGCTTTTTCATATCATAAATAAATAATACTTCAAGTCATTTTCAAAACATGTACGGCTGTACCTTTTTCCAGTGTTTAGTTTTTTTATCCTGCAGCAAGAGTTTTTAAAATGGAAATTACAGTTAGAAGCATTTGAGCTCTAACTCAATGCCTCAGTGCCTACTAAATCTTACTAAAGCGTCTTACTAATGTGATCTGCTTCTGCAACAGTATAAAGCACTTTAAAAAAAAAATAGCACTTTCAACGCTGGACATTGTGTGTGGAGCTAAGCATTTCCCTGAGGAGGAAGAGATGCTCAGTTCATATTACCATTTTGGTTTTTTTAGGGATCTGAAGCCAGAAAACATCTTGTTAAATGGAGAGATGCATATTCAGATTACGGACTTTGGGACAGCAAAAATATTGTCTGCAGATAGTAAACAAGGTGTGTGTCCTGTATCTTTCATTCCATGAAACAGTCACATTGCCTTGAAAAGTCCCCTCCCTGACTTCTTATTTCATTTTTTCAGCACGGGCAAACTCCTTTGTAGGGACAGCCCAGTATGTGTCTCCAGAGTTATTAACAGAAAAGTCTGCCTGCAAAAGGTGAGCTCTGCATATGGGTTTAAATGCTTTCATGCTTTCTTTTGAACTGCATTAAGGAGATGACTTTGACCTCTTACCTTATTCTCCAAGCTTTTTGCATTGTTTTGTTGACAGATTTTGGGGTGGGTGGGTGGGTGTCCAGAAGGTGAAAAGGGATCCTAAAAACTCTCAAATTTATTGAGAGTTTTTAAACTCATTAAACCTTTGTTCAATAGAACATTCCAAAACAACATTTGCTCTGCCCAGATAAGAAACTAAGTTTCTTAACATTTACAGCTAAAATGCTCTTCTTCTTACTAATCTGTTCGAAACAGAACATTTTAAAAAAACAAAAGCTTTTTTCAATATGTTTTCTACATACACACACACACACACACACACACACACATACATATAGTGTATTAGCTGTTGTTTATAGTTTAAAATTTAAACAATAATCTTTGGATGTTGTAAACTACTTTGAGAAAGTTGTGCTGCGAAAGAACTCCTATACACCTCCAAAGAGCAGTCAGGATTCAGGCCTGTTTATAGGATGGAAACCACATCGCTTGTGCTTTTCCAGGGCGCTGCTCAGGAGAGTCCAAGCAAGGGTTAAATACAGCCAAACTGCCCAGAACTGAATTGAAACTTTAAGCCACGCCTCTGGTGCTGATTATCTTCAGTTTTTTTTTTTCAATTCAGCTAGCCCAGTTGACGCGCTTAGAGTTTCTCTTCATTCTAATAGTATTGCTTGGACTCTCTTTCAGCTTGAATTGTAAGNCCCCCTTTGAAGGGAGCGGAAGCCACCTTCCATTTCGCCTTCACGTCAGCCTGCCAGTGGCGGAGCCACAGCAGGCGCCTCGAGGTGACGTTCGAGGCCAGAGCCCTGGAGGAAAATTTTGTGGCCGCAAGGGATGCATCAGCTGAGTACTCCATGGCGGCAATAATCTTAGTGGTGTCCTGCCTAGTTCTGGGGTTCCCTGCCGGAAGCCCAGCCCGCAACTTGCGAAGCCAGAACAGGGCTTCCCTGCCAAAATAGGAGGAGCTGGCGGAAGTGCGCATGGCCCAGGCGGTGGCCTGGTGGGTCTTAAGAGCAGCGGATTCTGCCCTCTTGTCCTCCGCCTTAAGACCTTCCAGCAATTCCATGGGAAGGAAAGAGGGGGAAGTAAGGGACATGATAGGGTCATCCACTTGGGGAAGCTTTAGGAGCTCCTCCAGTGGGGCCTCCATAGTGTACAGTTTCCTGTCCATCCCGCTGGGATTGGCCATTGTCCCCGGCTGGGCCCATTGCCGTTGGATAATATCTATGAATAACTGAGGGGCTGGAACCAGGTCCAGGGTTGGAGGCACCTCCTTAAATAGTCCTGCACCAGGATCCTGGGGCCCTATGGTCACGCTCGTGGTCTGGTCAGATGGAGGTTTGGCCTCGGGGGGCCGGAAGGCCCATCTGGGGCCCCTCTGCCTGGGCCTTGGTGAGAATGGCCTGAAACATGGCGGGATTAAACAGGCCTGAACTGGTGGCCTGCTCAGGGGCAGGGTTCTCATCATCCGAGAGAACCAGGTCCTCTACCTCAGCTTCCTCCAGATCCGAGACCTCACTGAGGCCCGTAGGGGTAGGAGAGGGCGCCCTAGCCTCAGGGGCCTTGGGGCGCGCAGGATGACTGGCAGTGGGTTTGGGCACCACAGAGAGCAACTTGGCCGCTAACTGCACCTTGCCATCAGAAATGCCTTTTCATATGGCACGAGCCACAACCTCCTCCATGGCCGTAGATAGTATTGCCTCCTGACCCTGAGGGGGAGGGGGCTCCAATTCCAAGGGGGCCAAGGATTCCTCCTCATCCCCTGAATCTACGTCTGCCAGGGAGTCTACAGCCATGGAATGGGTAGGTGATCCCAGGGATGCCCTATGAGGGTTGGGGGAAAACCCAAAATCCTCGCTGCCTGGGCCTAAGGGAGATTCCCCTTGCTGGGAGTCACTTCTGGGAGACCCACCCCCGATCTCACTTGGGGATGGCTCCACAGGATTCTTGGTTGTGCGGCCTGGGCCTTCTGGAATTGTTTCTCCAGTGCCTTCTGGTGGCGCAATGCCATTTTCTCCTCTGCCTTAGAGGCCATCCCTGTTTTGAGCTGATTCTCCCTGGGGAAAGCGCCTACCCCAACACCCTTGGCCATTGGATTGGGCCTACTTCGCTTGCTGGGTGTGGGCTCAGTCAGGCTGCCTCCTTGTTTCTCCTCGTTGCTGAGCTGAGGGCTGGTCTGCTGCTCCATACTGCCAGCAATCAGGAGGAATAGGCCCGAAGAGAAAATGGCAGATGAGGCCTTACTGGAACTGGCTGCTTGATCAGCCTAGCAGATCCACTTGAGGCAGGTCGGAAGGCTAATTAGGCCAAAGTACCCTGCCGTCGCTGGTCTGGAAGGGAGGGCAAGAGTCTGCCTGGCCACCCAGTGCGAGGCCCTCGGCATAGGGCGGCCCTCCACGGCGATCTGCGAGGTGGGACAGGCTGCACGGCAAGGCAGGAGAATAGAAATGGATGTGTCAAATATGGCAATCCAAAATGGCAGCCGTTCACGCACGCACAAAATTGAGCGACAACGGGGCCTTGGGGAGCCTAGCGCTCCTCGTGAGGGCACCCTGGCTACCTAATTCACCCCTCAGGCTCAAGGGGCTGCTGCCCCGAGCACCCCGATCTCACATTCTCTCAGAGCAGCACCTGGCTGTCAGCGCTGCAAACAAGCCTGTCCCGGTGTTGCGGAGGCAATTAGATCGATCGGAGGCTTGATAAGCAACAGAAGAACTGCAAAGTAAATACAGCTAAATACTAAGCTAGAAAGGAAGAAATAAACAAAAAGGAGCTACACTAACTCTAGAATTAGGGGTCCACTTGCTGCACAAGGACTGGAGCGCCAGAAATACGTCCTATAGGGCGACTGAGTTTTTTGAAACTGGGCCTCTGAGGCAACCAAGAGGCGGAGCTACAATCAATTTTAAAACTCAGTTCCTTGGGCAGCAAGCTGAAGTTAACCCGTGCTTGGACACTCTAAGCAGCGCCTAGGAGAATCAATTGCTATCATTTCCCCATTCATATGCTCCATGCATGCGTGAACATCCATCCATTCTTTTGTAAAAAAAAAAAAAAGTTGAAAGAGAAAGAGAGAGAAAAAAAGAGAAAGGAAGAAAAGAAAAAATATGGAGGCAGTTTGAGGGGCAATCTGTGTACGATGAGATATTTAAAACAAAAGATTAAATTAAACCACTTAAAAGCTTCATAGCAATACACCTCAGTGGGCTTTCAAACTCATGTCTGCACTACTAGAAATCACCTCATGTAACCACTTCCCACAAATGGGAACACCTTTTGAAACACAAGGCAGCAATATGCTGCCATTTTTAAAGTGGCATTGACAAAGCTGGACCTCAACCCGGAAAAGACCGAGTGGCTGTTGTGCTTCCCTCCCAATAATTTGGCTAGTGTTCCATCACTCAG